AAGATGAAAACTCATCCAAACACATAAAGAGGCCACAAGCAAAAAGAAAAAGGAAGATAAAATTGAAAGAAAATCTCTCTGCTATTTAGTCAGTGACCATTTGCTGCAAGGTGAGAGTGAAGGCCATGAATGATTAAGCATGAAACCCAGGCACTAGATGAGAAGCATCTCAACAACAAAGGAAGAAATAGTCCTTTCTTTTCTGTTCTGGCCTAACCAGTTAGTCAAATCATCAATCCACATATTTATAAGATAAGGCACTGCTTTGTCACATTGCTGCACTATATCATTTCAGACTTCAAACAGTCCCCTTTATGGCAGAGTGCATTTACTGTCACTTTTTTGATGGTTTGTGTCTAATTATGTGAATTTTAATAAAGCACTCTCATATTAACCTGACACTGACAACTGGGCATTATTGAATTTAACTCTTTGTCTGTTAGTTGTTCTTGTATCTTTGTGGTTCACCGATAATATCGGGCCCAGTTCATCTGCAGGAAGCTAGATTACTGCCAGCTTTGCAGTCAGTAGAGGGGCAGTGTGCTGTGCAGTTGAGAAATCAGGGTGCACAACAGTAAGTTTGACTCCTGAGTTTGTTGATATTAGATAAGTCAGGGCATAGGCAGAACAGTAGGCCCGAAACGTCAGCCTCTCTGCTCCTATGATGCTGCTTGGCTTGCTGTGTTCATCCAGCCCTGCACCTTGTTGTCATAGGCAGAACAACTTAGCCTCCAGTCCTGCCGGGCAACCCTTTCTTCATCGCTCTTCAGTCATTTTTGACTTTGTGTTCGGTAAATGCTGAAAAACTACAAGAGCTGGATTAGTGTGATGCTGGATATGAACAATATGGATTCATGGTCTGTAATATCACACTTTTGAAGGTGATGGGGAGACAATTGGCTTCTGAAATCAATCTTTTGGAGTTCCTTGTTTGTAATCAAGAACGATTTGCGTTGGCAAGGGCAAGAAAATGCTTCACAGCTACTTTTCAAAGTGCAGTTGCAATATTGGAAAAGCACAACCAACTTTCACGCAGTAAGTTCCCATGAAACCGCCATCCGATTTCAGACAATCTATGATCGTGGGGACTGGGATCAGGCAGAGGGGTGGCATGGTGATGGAGGCAGTGCAGAGAGTTTCTGCAGGGTGTCTAAGAAAGCCAACTAGGAGGGCACTGGTGAGAGACGCCAGAGGGTGGAGTACCCACTGTCTTGCCCAGCTGCCACGATATTTTACCACCAGTGGAGAATGTGGAGGCCAGTCTTCCAGTCCATTGAGGTGATTAAACAGTCAGTCAACAGCCTCTTCCCACAGCTTCTGGCTATTTGGCAACAGTGGGTCCAACTCCTGCCACAGTGGGAGACCACCTCTGGAGACCTAGTAGCGTTCTGAAGGCCTTACAAAAGGGTTTCCCTCTTACTCAGACACCATGCGACCCATGGGGGGTGCTGCACTTCAGCAACAACTGTCCAGTCCTTGTCAAAGTGCCACCCCACTGTGTACCCTCGTGCCTGACCTCCCCAGTAACCCCAGACCACTCACATGTGGTTGGTATGGTACAGTATCCCTGCAGCATCCTCTATTCTCAGTTGCAATTGGTTGCTGGATCCCTTAAGGGGACAGCAGTCCCGATGGAAACTATTTCATTGCCTGACACAAGTAAATTGCTGCTGGAGGTCCCATAACCTGCCATGGTGGGATCACCCCACACACCCCCATTTTTGGCCTGCTGCCAGAAACCCCACTACAAACAACAAATTTCAGCTCACAGTTTGCCAGCTAGCTATTGTCCTCAAGGGCACACTGTAACTGAATCCAATTTTATCTTCATTTAATGGGACAGCATGGTGGATCAGTGGTTAGCACTGTTTCCTCACAGCACCAAGGACATGGGTTCAATTTCACCCTTGGGACATTTCTTCTCTCAAACTGATCTGATAAGGAGAGCTCTTCAGCAAGAGATGGCTTCGATAGGCTCTGGAGCGGTGAAGGCATCTTCAGAGTCAGCGTGGCTACAGAGTCAGTCGGCCTATGAAGCCTGGAGTAGGATTGTCGCTTCTGCATGGAGTGGGCCCCAGGTGGCAGCATGGCGTGGGCTGGGAAGACCAGAGCAGGATTTTGGCAGCGGCATGCTGTAGCAGCGGAGAAGGGAAAGTTGGATTCTCTCTAAGTTATCTATTTTTATTTTATTCTAAGTTAATGTGAATGGCGCCTAGGTACGGCAACGGTGCACACTTTTCACTGTATTTTGTATTGAATACCCGTGACATTAAAGGATATTCTATTCTATTCTATTCTGTGTGGAGTTTGCAGATTCTCCCAGTGTCTGCGTGGTTTTCCTCTGGATGTTTTGGTTTCCTGCCACTGTCCAAAGATGTGCAGGTTAGGTGGATGGGCCATGCTAAATTTCTCATAGTGTCTAGGGATGTGCAGGCTGGGTAGATTAGCCATGGGAAATGCAGGGTTACACGGATAGGGTCGGGGAGTTGGTTTGGGTGGAATGCTCTTCGGAGGGTCAGTGTGGATTTGATGGGCTGAATGGCTGGCTTTCACACTGTAGGGATTCTATGTTTCTATGAATATGTATACTCTCCAGGCCATGAGCAAGAGTCATCACTTTAATGTGGCTCTCCCACAGGACACTGAAGCTCTTGACCACCACTTTGGCTGAAATCACCTAATTTATTCTTTCCTGCTTTCCATGGCTGTACCCACACTTTTACCCTTTGTTGTGCATGATGTGGCAAAGGTAATCAGTTTGCTCCAACAACATTCAAAACAATTGATATCGTGAATTGCAATGTAGTCTTGGCAACAAGCCCTATGAAACACACAGCTTGCAGCTTCTGAATGAACAGGGGCAGTCTGCTTTTGAAAAAGCCATACCATTGTTTATTAATAACTGAGCATGAAAAAAATAGTGATTCTATTCTTCATCTGAAAGAATCATTTTACACAGAAAAGCTCACCCAATGCATGCACCTCTCAATTTATCCATTAATCCACTGAGGCACACATTTCCATTCATCCAACCATCAACACATCCACCCACCTACCCATTTATTCATCCAGCCAGGATTCTATCTTGTCACTAGCCATCCATTCAATCAAATTATCCATCAAATAATCGTCCCATCCAGCCTCTCAATCCATTATTTCGCCTTTTTCAAAATTCATTCATGGGACGCAGGCACCGTTGGCTAAGCCAGCATTTGTTGTCCATCCCTAACTTCCATGGAGAGGTTTGTGATCAGCTGGATTCTTGAACTGCTGCAGTTCTTGGGGTGTAGAGACAAGTACAGATAGCGCAGGTAGGGAGGAAAATCCAGGTTTTTGATCCAGAGGCAGTGAAGGAATGACGGTGTTTTCCCAGTAAGGATGTCAGGTGGCCTGGAGGGAGGTTACAGGTGGTGGTGTTCCCATGTAGGAGCTGACATTGCCCTTTCAAATGGCAGGGTTTGTGGGATCGAAAGATACAGACAAGGGAGTACTAGTGAGTTGGTACAAGGCATCTTGTAGATGGTACACACTGTTGGTCATTGGTGAAGGGAGTTAATGATGAATATGGTATAAAAAATGCCAATCAATCAGGCTGTTTTATTCTGGATGGTGTTGAATCTATCAAATATCTATCCTGTTACTCACCAGACCATTTCCTACCTCGGAGATAATAGTTTTGTAGTAACAGTACTAGACTAGTTAACCTCAGGCCTTGGCCAAAATTCTAGGGACATGGGTTCAAATCCCAAAAAATAAGGCAGCTGCTGGAATTTAGATTGAATTCATAAAATATGGAATTAGAAACTCGTCTCAGTGATAGTGACCATGAAACTAGCATAGACTGTCATAAAATCCCATCTGATTCACCAATGTCCTTCAGGAGCGGAAATCGGCCTGGTCTGGCCTACATGTGACTCCAGACCCACAGAAATGTGGTTGACTCTGAACTGCCCTCTGAAATAGCCCTAGCAGATCACTCAGTTCAAGGATAATTGTTTAGGGATGGGCAATAAATCCTGGCTTTATCTTTGACAATGCCCAATTTACATGATCAAATAAAGAAAAATAATTATCCACCCTCATGATTTATTCATCCTTCTTCACATTCATTCCCTCCACTGTCCATTCATTTACCTTTTGTCCTACCTCCCACTCACCATCCACCCACTCATTCACCTTCCTTGCCCATGTCTTAATGTATCCAGCCAAGTATTTAACTAGTTATTACAAGTCAGGCCAGCAATACATATATCCAATCCTCTGTCCTTAAATTCTCTCCCCATCTACCCATCCAACCATCTATCCTTCCATCATCTAAGATAGAAGCAACACACTGTGGATACTGGAAAACTGAAATAAAAGCAGTAAGCGCTGGAGAAACGCAGCAGGTCTGGCAGAATCTGTGGAGAGAGAAATAGAGTCAAAGTTTTGAGTCTAGTTTAATGATTCTTCAGAATGGTTAATTCCACTCCTTCTCACATCTACCTGTTTGTTGAGTGATCATCTATTACGATCCATTCCAAGTTAATTAGCAAATGAAATTAATCAAAAATCATGCACGTATAGTCCTCTGATACAACTTCCCAGAGAATTCTTCATGAATTGAGAGGTGGGCTTTTAATCTCTGCCTTCTATATCTTTAAATGGGAGAAACAAAAGTCTCGTTCAGAACTAGTATAGTGGCTATCCCATGAAGAAACCAATGCATGTTCTCGGACTGCAACTGCTCAAATATCTTTAACCCATTATTAGCCAACCCAGCTGAAATACTGAAGGATTTGAGTTACATTTAAACTTTGCATGCACAAATCATGTTGAAGGAAATGCAACAGTGAGTGAGTGACCGGGGAGAAGACAGTCCATCAACAATTACAACACTTGCAACTGAGTTGACAATGCACTTTTGAATGTTCCCTGTTACCTGAATGCAAATGTTTTTGCCCTGCAATGTATATTTTCTGCCCTTTCTTCTAAGCTGGCAAATGAGCTAGCCACCTTACCTGTCACAACAGGGTAGCTCTGGGGTCCTGAAACGTTGGTCCCAAGGTCAGGGGTGGCCGCGGCTGAGAGGCTGCTTTTGACATCTTCCAATCCAGAGGCCAGGGCAGAGAGGGAATACTCATTAGCCTGAGAGAAACACAAACATGGTGTAATGAAGAGAGAAGTGACAGGAGTTTGGTTTGGATTTCCTTGCAAGTGACTTACATCACCTTTCATAACTTCATTTATTTTTTATTTAATCTGTATTTGTAATCAACCGGTTCAGAAATGTTATTACGCCCCCCTTGAGCAGGTGGGGCTTGAACCCAGGCCTCATACCCCTCGAACCTCCCCTCAAAAATAACAGAAGCTTTGTCTTTAGTTTTCCCAGAGGAGACTGCTGGAGAATGGCAATTCTTTTACATTCCATCAGTGTGACATAATAGAGAATAGAAGAGTGAGACAGAAACAACAGAGAACTGGGACAGAAGCACTGAGAGTAACAGACATTTTGAACGAGATACAGAGCGTAACATGTATTTAGGAATGAACTGCAGAGAATAATTGACTCTGGGAAGGAAACATGGGGTTACAGCAGAGACTTGGGAGTCAGATATAGAAAATTACTAGCAGTGACCTGTAAGCACATGTAGGAATATGAATGAGGAATAGGAGTAGGCCACTCGGCCCCTTGAGTCTGCTCTGCAAGGCAATAAGATCATGGTTGACCTGATTACTCTACATTTCCGCCTACACCTGATAGATTCATGATAAGCAAATGGGTGAAAAGCTATCTACCTCTCCTTAAATATATCCAAAGATTCTATTTCCATTGGCTTTTGAGGAATGAGAGATTAGAAGTCTCACAAATCGCTGAAGCAATAAGACTGGCAATAAGAGACTGAATATAGTTGGTACAGGCATATTTATGTATTCTTCAAAACAATGGGATGCTCTACATTCACTGAAAAGGGTAGTATCCCTACGAAAAAGATTTTACCTTTGAAAGTACCAAATTCCCTCAATAATTAACCAGAGGATCAGCCAGGAATTTGGTTTCAAGTTGCTGGGTTGGACATCGAACTTTGGGAAGAAAGAGTTTGAGGCTTGAATATCACTGACGTATCACAGGGGCTACCTTTATTGCTCCCAGTAATGTTACAATAGGATCTCACACAGACAGCAGGTATAGGGTTGGCATTAGTATATCAGGTGACGTGTTCAGTTCAAATGCATTGCTGTACATCAGAGTGGGAAGTCACACATGAATGTAACACAAAAGGAGGCAGAGGGTCTGTTGGTCCTTCATCTCTGGGGCATGTGCTCAAATCCAGTTGAGAGTAATGGGCTAAAAGTCTTTGCTGCCTGTCTGGTTTCTAAATGTGTAGCCTCAAGCCAGCAAAGAATCTTCAAAAATGGCCATCACAAGCAGAGCCAATTCTTCAGTCCAAGAGGTAGTGGAGTCCTCCAAAAGTTCAAATAAACAACATAAATTCAATTTTCAGTCCTTTACCTCCCACTTAGGACCACTTTGATTTGAAAAGTTAATCTGTCCCCTTCTAAAGTGATTACCATACTCCCGAAATGATTTTACAAAGTCTCAAACGGCAAGGCCTCTGCTGGAGTGAGTTCTATTATGCCCTTTCAAGTGTCTCCCAGAAGCTAAGGAGTTCAGGTTGATTTGGCCCCTTGAAGTGGAAAGGATCCACTCATGGCTTAGCTGACTGGAATTACAAGGTCGACATTGCTTGGTCCACTGCTTTTCGTTATATATATAAATGGTTTGGACGTGATTATAGGGGCTACGGTTAGTAAGTTTGCAGATGATACCAAAATAGGAGGTGTAGTGGATAGCAAAGAAGATTATCTCAGCGTACAATAGGGCCTTGATTAGATGAGCCAATGGGCTGAGGAGTGGCAGAATGGTTTATGGTTAGATAAGTGTAAGGGGTTGCATTTTGGTAAGACAAGCCAGGTCAGGATTTATACAGTTAATGATACGGCCCTCATGAGTGCTGCCGAACAAAGAGCCCTAGGGGTTCAAATGCACTATTCCATAAAGTGGAGTTGCAGGTAGACAGAGTGGCGAAGAAGGCCTTTTGCACGCTTGCCTTCATTGGTCAGGACATTGAGTATGGGATTTGAGATGTCATGTGGCTGTGCAGGATATTGGTGAGGCTAGTTTCGGAATACTGCGTACAATTCTGGTCTCCCTGCTATAGGAAAGATGTTGTTAAACTCAAGAGAGTGCAGAAAAGATTTACAATGATGTTGCTGGGACTGGAGGGTTTGAACTATAGTGAGAGGCTGAGTAGGCTGGGGCTATTTTCCCTGGAGCTTTGGAGACTGAGGGGTGACTTCATAGAGGTTTATAAAATCATGAGGGGCATGGATAGGGTGAATAGCCAAGGTCTTTTTCCTAGGTTGGGGGAGTCCAAAACTATAGGGCATAGGTTTAAGGTGAGAGGGGAAAGATTTAAAAAGGACCTGAGGAGTAAATTTTTCACACAAGAGGGTGGTGAGTGTATGGAACAAGCTGATAGAGGAAGTGGTGGAGGTGGATATAATTAAAACATTTAAAAGGCATCTGGATGGGTAAATGAATAGGAAGGGTTTACCAGGATATGGACCAAATGCTGGCTAATGCTGACAAGGTCAGATTGGGATGTCTGATCGGCATAGATGAGTTGGACCAATGGGTCTGTTTCCACACTGTATGACCCTATGACTCTACGAGAAGATAGCCTCTTCCATCTTCTCTCTCCATCTTTCCTGAGCTATTGACCTCTGTCCTCTACAGTCTCCAGAGGTTCATGGCCAATTTGGTTCCTAATAGACTGAGAATAAGTTAATCCCTTAACGAAGTATTACCACCCAACCCTGTCATGATAATCTTGGATATGAGTACAGAAATCGCAAATGATTCGAAAGAAAAATTCAAGCACCAACATTGACTATCAGTGACGGATGAGAGGACGAAAGAGGAAGGAGTCAGGAAAGACAGTGAAAAACCAAAGAGTAATCAAAGAACAGATGGGGAACAAAAGGAGACTGAAGAACAGGAATAAGGAAGAGTTGGAAGGAAGATACATAAAAAATATCTGCAGTTTCGTGGCACGTTTTTGTAATGGTCCTTAAGTGGAGTGATACCCCAAATGTCCATGTCTTGATAGGCCTTTCACTGACCTTGTCTTGTCTCAATCAACAATAGCTAACCCCTGATTCTCTCCTTCAACTGTCGCCCAGCTGCTGCGATGTGCTCTTCTTAATGGCATTCAACTGCATAATAGTAATTCCCCAAAGCAAGGCTGGCTCTGAGAAGAGAAACCACTGAGTACAGGAGTTCGGGATGGTGACTCATTGAATTTAAAAGCACGTCCGACTATATCAAGTGCCCATCCAAACTGACAGCTACGTCTCAAAGCTACCTTTACAAAGATGATAAAAAAAGACAACCAAACGACCAACAAGCCAACTGTCCTCATTAATATTACATTAGATCAAGCCTGATTCTCTTTCGCAACCCCCCCCACTCCAGACACGTGGCTTTCTTTTTCTCCACGTGCTCTTTTTCGCTCTCTCACTCGCTCTTTCAGTCTCCATGGTGGAGATTGCAAGTCATTTCCAATTCGTTGTGGTATTGATCTTTCACTGGGAATCAGTTTTCTAATTAGCTGCAAATTAGTCTTTCTACTGGGGGTAAGGCCTGTCCCTCTGATTTATCACTGGAGTAATTCAGTGCGATTGGAGGGAAATTAAAATGAACTCAATTAAGCAACTGGTTTGCTTTATGGGCTCGGATGGAGTTTCAGACGAAAAATTAATAGACTCTTGTTGTTTAATAGTCTAATGAAAGTAAATAAAGGTTATCCATTGTAATAAGGCAGCAGCTATAAAAAGTTGTATACGGCCACAGCCCTCATTTATGATGCTGGAGATTCATAGTGACATTCCAATGTAATTTCTTTTGCATTAAGACAAACAGTCTCCACATGGGGCCTCACTTCAAAGGGGCAGTGTGTGTTGTCAAAGCACCTACTGCAAAATTCACTCGACCAGACAGATTCTCTGAGTTACAATTCCCTCCTTTGAATACAGCGTATTCATTTAAGACTCAATATCTGATCTATATGTGTGTGTACTGTACCTCGTCATTCCTTTGTCAGGTCAAAGGTCAACATCAGAGATCTGCTTTTCCAAACCATGATGAGAGCTTTTTAACAGAAATGTTATTTTCATAAATTTTCTGATTTTATTATACAGCCCTTCACACAGGGATGAAGACTCTGTTTATTTAGCCACAGCCTTAGTGAGCAAGTTCTGGTGCCCTAGAGACAACAAGGACTGCAGATGCTGGAAGCCAGAGTCTGTAGCTGTGAGGCTGGAAAAGCACAGCAGGTCAGACATGTTGCACCTCATTCAATCCTCACGGCCCTCTGAAATAGCATGCCACTCCTTTTAAGAGCAATTTTGGATGGGCAACAGATACTGGTCAGCACAAGAAGGTGACATAGAATCACAGAATCATAGAATCCCTGCAGTGTGGAAGCAGGCTATTCGGCCCATCAAGTGCATACCGACCCTCCGAACAGCATCCCAATCAGTCCCACCCCAATACCTTATCCTTGTAACCCTGTGTTTCCCATGGTTAACCCACTTAATCTGCACATCCCTGGAAATTATGTGCAATTTTGCAACGCCAATCCACCCAACCTGCACGCGTTCGAACTGTGGAAGGAAACCGGGGCACTCAGAGGACACCCATGCAGACACAAGGAGAATGTGCAAACTCCTCACAGGCAAGGTCAGAAATCACATGACACCAGGTTATAGTCCAACAGGTTTATTTGAAAACACAAACTTTTGGAGCCTTAGTCCTTCTTCAGGTGTTAGTGAGAGAGATAGTAACAGACACAGAATTTATAAGTAAAAGATCAAAGGTTTACAACATTGATGAGAATGTACTATACAAGCCTAAGGTGCTGTTAAATCTTCAATCAGTTAGAAGGTTTTAATTGATTGATATGTATATGTACATCCCCAAATTCCTTTCAATTCACATTCCTGAGAGAACTAAAGGTTTTATCAATGTAAAGAAGAGGTGACATTTTAGGTCAGTCATGTTAGGTGTGAGACCTTGTTTAGAA